GATGTGGCGACCTGTATTAGTACGTAGGCCGCTTTCCACGTTTGACAGAAAGACCCATGGTGCTATACACTATAACATCATTGTTTTATGTTGAATTCACCAGACGGGAGTCGATATCGAGCTCCTTTTATCATCGAATAAACAATATTGAAGTGCGATATATATACACACATATATATATACTACACGTGCTGCCACAAAATCGAGGTGGGGTATATAGGTACTAATATTGCTGCGAGAAAACCGAAGGGGCTTGCACATGTCGTGTTACATACCATGCGCCAATTAGTTTCTACATGATTTGAGATGCGTCGTACAACTCTTGTACCCAATAATAGAGTGTGGCGGAAGGATTGACATTTTTTAAACTGTTGAAATAAAGACTTATTAACTTTAACCATGTAATAATATTCAGAACAGCCGTCAAAAAATAATTTTATACAAATATTTATGGGTCGATTCTTACCCCTTTATATATCGCCTGCTATAGGCATCATAAAAAATATATATCAGATAGATATATATCGTATAAATATATACCATATAAATATATACCAACCTGTTGTGTATCCTACTGTATACACCATATAAATATATATCATATAAATGTAAGTTGTACAAGCAGCCATCTTGTGAAAATGATATCTTTTTTCATGTACATAACCAAGTTATACAACAAGGTAGTAGTAATAAATAGGGTGAAAGATTTTATTATAAACACGAGCAATAGATTATATTACAACGAATAAAGATAGGTGATTCTATAAAGCGAGAGAGTCGTATATGGGACGGACGGGGGTAAAGACATTCAATAATGATTATTTAAATGGAATTGAAAGGCAGCCAGGGAAACCATGCACACAACACAATATGATAGGCAAGTGTCTTTATAACATAAAGTCATTGTATTAAACACACGATTATACCAGGCGACAAACAACCTGAAAATCTACTTGGTACTAAGCATATCTTCCTTCGTACCAAAGATATGTAACGCAACACTTTAGACCGGTCGGTACCAAGCCTTTGTATCAATGATGAGATCATAGTGGTGAAGATATGTAACGCAACACTTTAGACCATTCGATGCTAATACTTTCAACCTTTACAAGTCAACTAAATAACGACGGACATGTCTAGCGTGTAACTAACCAGGGATGACTTGGAAGTTAAAAATACATCTTCACAATGTCAAGATTCATATGTCTGGTATGTTACAACACCTATTTTAATAACAACCCCTATTGTAACAGAGAGAGAGAAATGGGGTTTAACGTCCACTCTACACAAATTAGGTTATTTCGGGAGTAACACATGGTTCAATTTTATTTCAATAATTCGCTTGCGCGTAGGGGTCTTTAGCATTGGGAGGAAACCGGAGGACCCGGAGAAAACCCATGAGGTTGGACACAGAGAGATGGTTTAACGTCCACTCGACAAAGACTAGGTCATTTCGGGACTAACACATGGTTCAAGTTTATTTCAACAATTCGCTTGCGCGTATGAGTCTTTAGCATTGAGAGGAAACCGGTAAAGTAAATGACATTATAGAGAGATAAACAATAGACATATAGTCAAGAACATCTAAAAGTCTTGGAGTCTCAGGTGTACAGCGCAGTGGACGCTTACGGCCTAGAAATGGTTCCACTACTGATGTCTTCCGTCTTGCTTCAGCCACAGCAGTGGACCGTCCTAAGGCCTTCATTTGAGCAAGTTTTGTGAATAAGAATTATCACAGCTTTAAATATTGCAGCTAACTTACGGCTAACCACCGGATCCATTCACTTGATCTGATATATACGTTTGTTGTTTGTGGTGTCTGTATATTGTGTCATGTCCGTAGGTTTGTCTTGTATAATTGTTGGTGTGTTGTGTGGTCATCCTGTACATATTGGTAATATGTATATTCAACATTTGGTATGATTACAATCTGATAAATAACTACAAATAGTATGACTAAAGGCTAATACATGACTACAATTGGTATAACTAAAGCATGATAAATAACGACAAGTTATTGTATAGATGTATGGCGGCTTTAAATATCAACGACTAAAAATACTGTTGTTCATTTAAATATCTGATTCACTATGCACTGATATGTGTAATATGATATTGTATAGTTGAATATGTGTCATAAAAGAAAGGCAAAGGTTATGTAGACCGTGAAAGCTTGATCCCCTAGCAATAACCTCAAACAAAATTAAACTTCCTTGTTGATTTCAAGTGTTCAAATCTTTCTACTAAGCGATCATGTATTTAGTTTATGATATATAAGTGAACTCAGCAGTCATATATTTAGTAAAAGTTATATCACGTGAAAGTGTGTAAATATATAATGAGGGTTTTGGTGATCCTCATTGTTTCCTGTCATTGTACGCTGTTTATAAATGGTGAGTTACTATATATAATATACTGGATTTCTAGCTTACTGTTATGAATATACACAAACTATACTTTATGTTTATTATACTGGATACTTAGGTGGGCGGGGGGATGATGGCCGAATGGTTAGCACGTGCGCACTGTATCATAAGGTCTGTCACTGAGTCAACTGGCGTGGTTTTGGTTCCCCAGTAGTACGTGCCAAGGAGTAGAGTCGCCTGTCCAACCTCGTTGGTCTTCTCCGAGTCCTCCGGTTTCCTCCTACTGTTAAAAAAAAACCTACGCGTAAGCGAATTATTGAAATAAAATTGTACCATTTGTAAGTCCCGATGTGACCTATTTTGTGTCGAATGGATTATAAACCCCTCTCTCTCTCTCTCTCTCTCTCTCTCTCTCTCTCTCGATAGTTAGCTTAATTTTATAAATATACACACAGACTATACCTATACATATGTTTATTATATTGAATACTTAATGTTATAATTATACATAGATTACTAACATCCGAAGAATACATATTATAATGTGTCATTACACTGAAGTTAATGATGGATTAATCAGACAGGAGCTTGTTCATTAACCTGGAAGTCAAGGGTTCTATCGCGGTGTGGGTCTAGAAATTCCTAGGAATTTTCAAGAGTGGTTTATCTTGTCAATGGCGCAGGACGAGGGTCTGACAAAGAACAGAGTCGTTTGGAGGGTAAGAACAACCGAGGTTCCGTGTACACATTGGCGTACACGCAAAGGAATGAAATAAAATAGGTTTAACCTCCTACTGTTCTTCTCCGACAGGGCCAATGGAGACGGACATACTCCATACAGTTTGCTATGAGGTAAATTTCGCCCGGGCAGCGGTACTATGGCCTACTCTTATATCGAATTCCAAATGCCAAAGGATCTTTTACGTGCACGCCAATGTATTTATGGAATCTTGGTTTTTGGTCCCATCCGAACGACTAGACAACTGTCATTGTCACCTTGTCAGACCCTACTTCCTGCACCACTGACAAGTTGAAACCACGCCGGAAAATCCCTATGAACTTTCTCGACCAAAGCCGGGAATGACCATGCGACCTTCGGGCTTGCGAGCCAGGGCCTTACCCACTTAGCCACCGTGGCTCACCAAATGCAACTCTGTCCTAGCACAATAACACATTACATGGCCTATGCCCATCTGCGATAGCCCACTTGGTTGAGAAACATAGTGTTAAACCCTATTTAAATTTACATTGCCATATAATGTCTATATATGTTGTGCGGGGATACTCTCAGTCTGTTTATCTACAATAACACATTACATGGCCTATGCCCATCTGCGATAGCCCACTTGGTTGAGAAACATAGTGTTAAACCCTATTTAAATTTACATTGCCATATAATGTCTATATATGTTGTGCGGGGATACTCTCAGTCTGTTTATCTACATATGGTTTCTATTTGTTATATTTAATAATATAGCTAACTCAGCTTGTTAATCGTATTTATTATATTTATATTTTATAGGTATAGATATTACAGTATGTAAAAATGGTGGAAGCTTTCCATCCGTAGATCTGACTTGTTCTAACAATAATGATATGATACATGTAGAGAGTATCAGGTATTTTTATAATCAAGGGCCTGATTGTGGTGGTTCGACAGTACCATGTGGTCAACCATTGACTAATAGTGATACAGGTTTAATAACATCTTGTAATGGACAAACATCACCATGTTCACAAGATATAAATAAGTATAGTAATTGTACAGGAAGTACTGTTAACTATAGATGTATTTCAAGTAAGTAAACATATTTACACATTGACTTTATCTGATTATTAGTATTCTGCCATTCGAAGTAAATCACCACTCGAATGGTCGGCGAATATCAAGCAAAAATTCGAATAGTTGCTATAAAAATACGAAAAACCAGAACATATACTTAATACGTATTATTTCTCAACCAGCTATAATACCATCTTGAAGTATCTTGTTTAAAAAATGTAAAATACGTACTGTTTCTGGTTTTAGATAGCTGTCATAAGACATTTCTTTTTGTCAAACAAGGACAGCTGTCTAGTCGTTCGGAGGTCCCGTGTACACATTGGCGTGCATGTAAAAGATCCTTTGATAGTCGGAATTCTATATAATAGAGAGAGAGAGAGAGAGAGAGAGAGAGAGAGAGAGAGTTTAACGTCCACTCGACACAAATATGGTTCAATTTTATTTCAATAATTCGCATTAGCGGTTGGGTCATTAGCAATGGGAGGTTGGACAGGCAACCCTACTCCTAATTATGTGCAACTGGGGAATCGAAACCACGCAGGTTGAATCAATGACAGACCTTGTGATATAGCGCGCACGCGCTAACCATTCGGCCATCCAACCCCCAAAATACATGTAAATTAAGGGAAGTAAGAGTGGGATTGCATAATGAAATACATGTAGTCACTCTGATTCAGTCAAATTTCCAATATCCATAATTTTTCATTGATCTTATGCAGCTGCTCTGAATTTGCATTATACTCAAAGATATATGACTTCAATAGTTGTTTCACGGCCCTTTCTACTTTCCCCTTGAATTAATATGTTATGAATGATGATATTTGACTTATTATAATATGTTTCTATTACAGGAGAAAATGGTCAGGATATGTGTCAAAGCAAATTTACTTTAAAAGAAGATCCAGTCAGAATATTTCTATTTTCACCAAATTATCCAACAGCAACGAGTGGCTTTAAATCAAATGAACCAACTTGTAAATGTGATATACGTGGTACAAGTATAACATCTATAACTATATTAGATCTTAGATTAAAAACATCTAGTGATGGAACAAGATCTAATTTATTTATACAATATGGTGATATAACTTATAATAAAACAAGTAGAGAAAACCCTAAGCCCACTCTACAAATTGATAATCACAGAGTGCAAACAACAACATCAACAACAGCTGATATTATATTCACTCATCAACAAATACATGGACTAAAACTATGGATTGAAATACAAGGTAAATATTGATAACTAGATATAAATTCAATGTCGAACAAGTAATTCGGATTGATCGACAATCCTTTCTTCTTTTATTTGGTTCAGTTCTGTAATGCATCCTATCAGATAGAAACGTTAAAAGTTGAATCTGATGTCGTTTAACATCCTCCATAGGTATACCATAAAGTAAAAGTAGACAAACGATTCATACAAGTTTATTCTTTTCCACCTTTTACAGGTATATCTTTGACAGGGGTCTGTAATAATATATCTGCAACAAATGTTTCAACACCCATCACACCACGACCAAACAGTACTACAACTCCAGGTTCATCTTCTACACAGAGTGAGATTTCTACCAGTACACCTACCAATCCCATTACAGGAAATAACACAGATTCCAGCACTATAGCCGATCCCAGCACTTCTTCTCAAACATCAACTGCACATCCCACTACAGTAAATAACACAGATTCCAACACTACAAATGATCACAGCACTTCATCTGAAATATCAACCGTAACCTCAGAATTGCCATCTGGTTCAACATCAAGAACATCAACCAATTCACCAGAGATTCCAGCACGACAAACAGGCAACAGTTATTTTATATCATCAATAACAGTCAATCTTATTTAGTAACTAGAACGACAATGTGAAACTGGTTTCTTAATAGTAGACTGACGCCCTCAAAATTAAGGCATCTTGCTTCGCTCTCCTTTTAATTTCCTATTGACAAACTCTGTCCCTTCCATTGATATTTTACCCTGTAAAGTTAACTGATACAACGCCCCAAGTAATTTATAGAAAGTAAGATGACAACCAAAATATGTGACAATCGTTGATTACTTAGTGCTTGGAAAAACTCTTTAATAAATAAGGTTAAGCCAGGGCTAGCTGCTATCATATTGGCACAAGCTGGGACTAGGTATCATATTGACACAAGCTGGAGCTAGGTATCATATTGACACAAGCTGGGACTAGGTTTCATATTGGTACAAGCTGGGGCTAGGTATCATATTGACGCAAACTGGGACTAAGTATCATATCCATACTAGCGAGGTTGTCAAACTCAGGGAATATAACTCGTCTAAAAGCATTTCTTAATCAGTACAAACACTGAAGTGAATAATAAGTAACAAAGCTGGTACTCCCAACCCTCTTTATAAGAAATAATTTATGAACTTCCGAAACCATGGGTACAGTATAGTAAAAGAGGTTTTCTATTCTAATTTATTATTAATTTTTGTAGCTGTTATTTTCTGTTGTATATTGGCAGTTGATTTTGAGGGGTTTTCATTTTTCGAACCAATATCAGGTACCAGTTGTATATTTCAGAATGTATTGAAATGTATATGGCCGTGTTAAATCAGATAGATCAACTTCCCCATAATGTTTTTTTATTTGAAAGTATTTGTGATCGTTGGATGTTTTTCTTTTATTCAGATTTATTGTTGATAGTTGGTTGTGTTGTTGGTGGACTGGTGTTGATATTCATACTAGTAACTGTGTGTGTTTTGTTAAGGTGAGAAACAATTTTAAAATGTCCCCTAAAACAAATACTATCTAGATATAAAATATATGTCATGATATCTGACACGGTTTCCAGTAAACTGGATTGCTGGGAAGGAAAGTTGCTCAAATGTTTCGCAAAAAAGTGGAGTTGTATATTTGTGTTAAGTTATTAATCGGAGATACAGGGAGGGGGGGGGGTGCAACTTATCGTAAAGTTGATAATAACCAGGTCATTTCGAGACTAACATCTGGTAATCAGGAAGCGAGAGAGGGGGAGTGGGTAGGGGTAACATATAAGGGTTGACCTACAGTCGACAATCATCAGGAAGAGTAGGGGTAGGGCTGAACGTACAGTCGACACTAATCAGAAGGAGTTGGGGGTAGGGGGTTAACCTACAGTCGACACTAATCAGGTCATTTTGGTCTAACATGTGGTAATCGTTATTTAATAACTCTTGTGTATGTAGATATATTTAACAGTGGGATCGTAACCACAACACAGTCACGATATACTGATCTAATGACGCCATTTCCACCATCTTATGTTAGGTGATTATAATCTGTATAAACACATGTATATTGTAAATTATTGTGAGATACGTACAGACGGATTAATATCGATATTTATTTTCTAAACCCAAAATAGTATGATTATCTATTTCAGAGTACGAAAAAGGAGAGCTAATGTCTTACAACAGAATGTGCACGTGCATATTAACAATACTACTAATAATACTTCTCCAAATTACTTCGTTCTAGAAAGTTTGAATAGCCCGGATGAGGACGTTAAACACGATAATATTAATACCAATCCATCGGGCTTGGCAACAGGTCATACACCAGAATATGCCGTTGTGAATAAGACCGGAAGAAGGTTTAATGTGACTGATGGGAATCCACCGGAACAAGCAACAAAGAGCAATGCAACTGATGTGGCAGATATGGAAATATTAGAGAACGAACTGTACATACCCTACGAAGCACCTAACAACCTAGATAACACTGGTGCTGTAGCTTCTACAAGCAATAATATACCACAACATCAACAACCACCAGGAGATATGGAAATATTAGAAAATGAACTGTACATACCCTACGAGGCATCCAACAATCCAGATAACACTGGTGCTGTGGCTTCTACAGCCAATAATATACAACACCATCGACCATCAGGAGATATGGAAATATTAGAAAATGAACTGTACATACCCTACGAGGCATCCAACAATCCAGATAACACTGGTGCTGTGGCTTCTACAACCAATAATAAACCACAACATCGGCCTTCAGGAGATATGGAAATCATGGAGAATGATTTGTATGTTCCTTTTGAAAATTCTGCTGTTGAGGTGTCGAAACCTATGACAAGCAGTATATATGATAATGCTTCTAACAACGGGACAAAACAAAACGTTGCTACACCCGACATGGAAAGCAGGACAAAGCAAAACGTTGCTTCGTCTGAAATGGAAATCCTAGAAAATGATTTGTATGTTCCTTTTGAAGACACAGATAAAACAGAGAATAAGTCAAGCGACCAAGCACCAAATATGTAGATTTTAGAAAATAATTTATAGGTTCCTTTCGAAAAAACACAAATATGATTTCAGTTCTTAATTACTCCAAAACGCTCACAGACAACTGTAATACAAATACGGGCAATGGGTTTTATGTGCTCATTCCATAATATGTAAAAACAAATAGTGGATAACATAATATTGAATTAGTTTTAGTCCACCAAAAATGTTTAATAGCCACCCATGTTGCTTATATATACTCTTCAAAAAAACGTAGGGGATATTCAGAAACAATACAAAACTGCGAAAATGCACTGCTGTTTTTATTAGAGGTAACCAGTGTATGTTAATAACAGGCCAATTTTCTATACATGAACATAAACAGTTCATATGGGCGGTTTATCTGACGGCCCCTTTTCACTCGCAAAGAGATACACTATAAAAAGTGAAAATGGACGTTTTTTGATTTGTGTCTTAATAATGAGTAATTGCTCCAACAATGATCAGACATTTAGCAATTATTCGTGGCATGCCCCTAATCAACCGTCCAATCACGATTTGGGGCAATTTGACCAACTCCTCTTGCAGTGCTACGTAACACACTAAAGGAAAGATACGCTAAACAGTAAATCTTATGTAAGAACCGATAGGAAAGCCAACGCGGATAGGATAAACCAGCAAGCGGCAGTTTTCATCAACCCTACCTTAAAGTGTCAAATATGACAATGAACCCCTCCCACGTGTATGGCGCTATTGGGTGTCGCACGTGCAGCTCAGTGGTTCTGTTGGGGCATAAGTTCTTCATCTGTGAACATACTCTGAACGCATGTCAAGTGTCCATGACTATTTATCATATCACAACTTGCATACGCCATGTAGTGAGTTTTGATGGACATTTTGCCCGGAAAGCGGTTTTAAAACCTACAATTAATTCGAAAAGTTATTTTACTTGCACTCTAATGAGTACACGGGATCTTGGTTTTACGTCCCATCCGTACAACTAGACCCTAAGTCCTGCACTACTGGCAAATAGGGGAAACCTTGTCGGTAAATCCCGAGGTTTGTTCTCGCCCAACACCGGCTGCGATACAGAGACCCATTGGTTAGCGAGCCAGCGGCTTACTGACTGAGTCACCACGGCTCCCTTGAAACTAGAAAAAATAAAGATTTACGATTAAAGGCTTTATTCTTATGTAATGTCATTTGAATATACTTCACAGATATATGAAGACTAATCACTCTTTGATTAAAGACAGTCTATGCTCTGTAGGGTCATTTGAAAATACATGAAATAAACCATACTGTACACAGAGAACTATCTACTTCTAGAATAGATCTCTGTCCTGAATGGCAGCCATATCTAAACAATTGATATACTATTTTGTAATGCGGTTTTACATCTGTCATACACACAACGATTAAAGGAGCTAAATCACTAATTTTTGGGACCTAGAAATTGACACAAATGGTTGGCAATTTCAACTCAGTTATGTTCCGCGAAATACGCCAGAAGTGTCAATCGAATGGCAATCTCTAGCGTCTTGTTATTGCAGTCTACACCGATAGTATTTATTGCACTTGCTCTCCAAATAAGAATATGACGTCACCGTTTGACATGAGTTGTGGAATATGTCTACCCTCTTTCTTCGAGTAATGCGGTTTTACTCCGTTTTACATGCGTCATACACACAACGATTAAATAAACGTTTTTAATTGTGTTAAAGGAGCTAAAACACTAATATTTGGGACCTAGAAATTGACACAAATTGGTCGCAACGCATACAATAATGTAATATGAATGTATATACACTGATTTACATTCAATC